TTTAATATCAAACAACATCTTAGTTAATTTGAAAAAGATACAAAATACCTTGCTCGATGTTGTTACCGACATTTATCAGGGGAAATTTGATATACATATACTATCACCTGAACAATTACAAGATGAGCTTAGCATCATTTCTGGACATTTAGCAAAAGATCTATCTTTGCCTATACATGATATACACAACGGCGTATCAAAATTGTATCATTACTGAGAGTAAAGGTCAAGGTCACATATCAAAAACTTTTACTCGAAATTAAAATACCACTTTTAACCAGAGAAAGCTATGACATCCACAGAGTTTTACCTATTCCTCAATCATACGACAATAAGATGATAAACATAATTCCCATCTCTGATTACTTTGCTGTAAACATCCAAAGAGACTCATACATACCTATGGCTGAAGCCAGTACAATCATGTCTACATTCAGACCTCACCACGAAACTTTGTAAGTTACGAGGTCCTGTTTATCATATGCAAAATGATCAAAATTTGTGTATCAAGAATCCTTCAACAGACCAATATCTCACTAATATTAACAGTTGTAAAAATTCATGGAATGCGCTCAACACTATAAACACATACTTATTTTTCTGCTGCGAACAATGCACTCTTCGAATCATATGCGGCAATCAAGTTACATCGGAGCGCGTCAGCAAGGCCGGCGTTTTATCAGTCGGGAGTAATTGCGTGCTCAAGGGAGACGCATTCATAATCTATCCACACAACTATCACATCAACACAATGCACGCACACCCCGATTTGTTAGCCATAGATATTCCACCTATCAACAACATAATCAACTTGACCATACCTATCAGTAAAGGTGAGATAAGCCAACCAGAGGAGAGAGAACGACAAGCGTCCTTGAAGGAGATCGGGGGTCAAATCGATCAAATGAAAAAAGAAAACATAGATGTTGAAGTGAATCAGCTGTCAACCCACGACTTACACCACTATGTCGTTATCTACGTGTTAGTGGGAGCACTCGGGGCAGCGGGCGTAGTGGTACTTTGGAAGCGAGTGAGACAAGCGCGCCGGCGGAGCCTAGCGCCTGCGGCCCGCCCGGAGCCGGCATCACCGTTATCTCTTCAAGACATTCCTCGTGCGTGTACAAGTGATAGTGTCAGTGCCAATCAAAACATGTCAGTGCAAAGTGCGCGAGTACAAAACAAAGGCACCTCACCCGTATTTGCGAGAGTGTGCTTGAAGGACATACAAGTAAAATAGATCTGGACATAGACCTTTAACTACTTATTTTTATTTTATTTATTAGTGACATACTATGATAGTTTCTTAACTTAGTCATTATCTTATATCATTATCATTTTATCTTATATCATTTTTGTTGTTTCCTATCTATCTTATCACTCTCATCTCTCGCCCGGGAGCATGTACAGTGCAAGCGTACATTTTAGTGTGTAAGCGATTTATTTAGGTCAACATAATTTGCGTCATTCACTTTAGTTTTTAGCAATGGACAGTTGACGTTGTCGCTCAGAACTCGATAGACGCGTTCTATATCATTATCAATATCATTATAAAATATCATTATTTATTTTAAATAAAATCATTTTTCCTATCAACTATCATTTAAAGGTGTTCCGTACAGTCTACTGCTGAACTTAGACCTCTCCCAAAGATTACATCATGGGGAGTATATTTGCTATAGAACATTCATCCATTACAGTCTATAAAACTAACAACCGCAGATTTTTATTATTCTGAGTTATTATCAGGAAGATGCTGCCGCCCATCTCCTGATTCAATTTTCCTCGGTCGATATCCACGAGACAATATTGGGTAATAGATGAACATTCTTACACCCGCAACTATATTCCGGATGTGTATTTTATCAATACCTAAATTACAATACAATTACATACAATACGAAAAGAAATTTCTAAAGTAGTAACTCTAAATTGCAATGTAATAAGGCCAACAAAGAAAAAATCATGCTCAACTTATTAAACTCACGCCACGACAAAAGCTCATTGCTGCTCGCAATAACATGCACCTAAAACCAGGGCAGAAACCTCGGTCCTTTCGAGTTTACATTGGCTGCGTTTGGCAGAAAAAAGCGCTAGGAAGTGCTTGTAAGCAAAATGGCAATCGTAAGCGGTAAGCGCTGTCAAATGGTAAATAGCTATTTTCCTCTAGGACACCAAGTTATCTTTAACCGGGGAACATAACCTAATTTAAATATATGACGGAATATTTGCACCAGAAGTATTTTTTAAAACTATGACGTCATTATTGAGATTTCTAGTTTCACTCATTATTGTTTTCTTTAATAATAAGAATCACTTATTTACTTTTAACTGATTTTACTAATCACAACTAATAGTTACTCACAATCAACAATTACACGCTATTGTTCACAATTAACGATTTTATAATTATTCACTATTGTTCACAATTTATAGTTCGCGAATTCAACTAACAGTCCGAACAGCACGACAGCTCGAGCAAGAATGAATCCTGCCCCTTTTTTTTTTTTTGCGCCCGAAGCAAATATGGGCAACCCTCCGGAAAGCGGGGGAGGGAGGCGGTGAATGCTCATAGCATACCACGCAGCCGGCTGCGTGGTTATGTGGAGACTTTTACCCACTAAACACCGCCTTTTAGGAAATGGCTTAACGATCTGACTAGAGATCTCTAAGCCGTATACGAACGCGACCCTCCTTGGCAGAAAGGAGGGCGCAATCCTGCCCCAGCCGTCGCGCGCCTTTTAAACTGAATGAGAGCGCAAGCCATCCCCACTTCCTGCGCTTTGAGAATGATTACCTTCAAATTGTTATAGCGACAACCCGCATTTAATGATATTGTGAATTAAAGCATTTTAAATTATTTATCTGGTAACAATAATTAACTAATTATAAAAATAAAGACACATGTTATAAAAATCAGCTTATAACGTTATTTCAGAAGTTGAAATAACGTCTATTGAATTTTAAATGAATAATAATTGTTTAAGTAATGCGCCGATACGTCGCTTATACTTTGTTGCGCCGATATATATGTTTATAAAGTATTTATATTAAAAGCTTACCAATCATGAATTTTTAATAACCTCATAATATGTTTATTCATGTCATTTTATATTACTTTAAACTAATTGCACAAAACAACTTATAAACTCTACTTCAAAACAAACAAAATAAATAAGCAAAATGGCGGATTGTGTCAGCGCTACTGAAGTTGGCAAACGTGTCCTGGCCGAAAACTGTATAGTTTCGCCATTTTGCTTACAAGCGCTTCCTAGCGCTTTTTTCTGCCAAACGCAGCCATTAATGATAAATGATCTGCCGAGTATTGTGATTGACGCTAAATATTTGCTGTTCGCTGACGACCTCAAGCTGTATCTACCGATCAGGGAACGGGAGGACTGTAAGAGGTTACAACGCGACATTGATAGGGTGGTAGTATGGTGTGAGGATCATAAGTTGCAGTTTAATTCATCTAAGTATGTAATGCTAACTTTTACTCGCGTAAGCATTTCCATTCTCTTTCTTCTTGACGTATGAGCTGGATGGAGTAGCTATGGCACGAGTAAACGAGTTTAAGGATTTGGATGTTGGTTTCACCTCTGTACTTAATTTTCAAATCATATAGTGGTCATCTGCAAGAAAGCGTATCGCAACTTAGGTTTTATACTGCGCAGGGCTCCTTGTTTCACTAACAATAAAGCCATTATGTAACGCCTTAGTTAGGAGCCAGCTTGAGTGCAACGCGGTTATCTGAGCTCCACATGAAACGAAATATAGTCTCATGTTGGAGAGAATTCAAAACAAATTTGTTTCTATATCTCAAATAGTATGGGGTAATAAGAGGAAAGATAGACAATCCTTATTTCTTGGATGGTATTTGAATGTCTCGGAGCAATACGTGTGACGAGGGCGGCGGCCGCGGCTGCTGGCGGTGCGCACTCCGCGTTACCAGACTTAACCTTATCCATGAGGAGGTGACATATTCGTATGTTCTGTGAGTGAATTCACTAGGGCTGCATTATTTATAATATGTCACAATAATTAAAATGTTTACTGTTTTCACTAGATCATAATATGATCCTGTAATGTAAGTGGTAAGTTTGGCTGAATAAATAAATAAATAAAAAGTTGAAAGTATACAATATGCACAAATTGTTGGTCTGAGGTCAGGTAGAGAATTACAAAGACAGAAAGTAAAAACTAATTGAGGAAAACCGTCTGAGAAAACAAGCAAAGTGAAAGGACAATCACTACACACCTCACTTTTAATGCGCTCTGATCAGGCAAAGAGTCTCTCTCTCCCTTTTCCTTTTTTGTAGATAGGTTATTATAAGCGTTAAAAATCAATGAATTTTTATCATCAATGTGTTAAATTCAAACCTAAAATAATAATTTTTTTAAACATGGAAGAGTCATGCTTTCACCTACATCACCGAGGGAGAACCACCCATAGAACACCAGCGTAAAAAAGCTACTCAATACTGCTGTTTCGTAAGGTTAATGTAAAGAATCGGAGACCTCTTTTATTGGTTACGAGGTATTCCATCTTAGTACTTATGGTTCATAAAAGATGCCTTGATCTCTGCGACAGCTGTCAGTAAAAATCACGCCTATGAAGTCCTGAATTTCTTAGTAGTACAGACAGTACCTGTCAATGTCATACTTTATGGGCATGCCAACCTAATTAGGTCCTAATTTTAGGTCCTAATTTTTAGGACCTAATTAGGTCGGCATGCCCATAAAGTATGACATTGACAGGTACTGTCTGTACTACTAAGAAATTCAGGACTTCATAGGCGTGATTTTTACTGACAGCTGTCGCAGAGATCAAGGCATCTTTTATGAACTATAGGTGTGTCAACACATGTACATTTTGATTTTATAATCGAGGACAGATGTAGGTGTCTAAGGGTCTTAGCATACACTCACCATTTGACTGCCAACTATCGAGATATATTCGATTGGAATTTAGACTGCTGAATTCATTAATTAACACAACATACCTTTGCATAAGTGTATTGGGCATCGTCCAGCAATTTATCCAGATCTAGAGCTTGTTGTAAGTAGAGCTCAGGATTGCGTCGCAGTATGGTGGCCAGGACACAGAGTAGTTCCACGCAGAGCTGACGCCGCGGCGCAGACTCTATTCGAACTAATGCTTCTTCCACAAGGAGTGCAAATGACAGTTCCGACCGCGACATGATAACTAGCGTCGGTTGTGCGGGAATAGTGTGGCCCTGTGTAAATAGTGCATAAATGAATATATAATTTTTGAGAAAAAATTAAAATTTTTGTTTTTTCTGATACAATACAATTAAATGTGGTTTATTTCTTTTATCCATCCCAAGAAATTAGCCCGGAAATCATTTTTTTTGTTCCGCTTTTTTACCCCAAGAAAATGTATTTATATTTTAATATTATATTATTAATTTTTAATAACCACAAACTTAAACAAAAACCATATTACGTATGGTATTTAAACCGAATTCCTCGTTTACTTATTGTTATTTAAAACTTCTTCTTCTTTAAAACTTCCTCGTTTTAAATAACAATAAGTAATTTATAAATTCTGCAATATGACCAAGAATAGACCAACACTAATTTCATTTTTGAGTAGACGTAATTGTATATCCTTGATAAATACGTCTTATTTAATGTACATTTGCAATCGTTTTCTAAATTTCTTTGTTACAATAGATGTGTTAGCGAAAAAATTGTTTTGCATACAATCCAAAAACTTTACAAAATTTTGATGTTTGTCTTTAACATCATTTGAAATAGTTTTATGCCAAGATTCTAATGAATTTGTAGTTTTGTGAGGCACTCCGAATGAATTTCAAACTTCTACACAATTTTCGTCCATGAGCCAAGTCTTTTTATGGTATTTCGCAAACGCCATCATATTATCATCATTATTCAAAAAAGATTTAACAAACAGCCATAATGTTTCTATAACCGACTGTACACAGGCGAGGGAAAAAATTGGATGAAAATAATATACGAATTCCGATTAACCACCCCGTTTCGGGTGGATAAACAAACATGCGTTTCCGAGTATCCAACCTAGGGTGGATTTCTTAGGGTGGATAAACAAACATGCGTTTCCGAGTATCCAACCTAGGGTGGATTTCTTAGGGTGGATAAACAAACATGCGTTTCCGAGTATCCAACCTAGGGTGGATTTCTTAGGATGGATAAACAAACATGCGTTTCCGAGTATCCAACCTCGCCAAGGGTGGATTTCTTAGGGTGGATAAACAAACATGCGTTTCCGAGTATCCAACCTAGGGTGGATTTCTTAGGGTGGATAAACAAACATGCGTTTCCGAGTATCCAACCTAGGGTGGATTTCTTAGGGTGGATAAACAAACATGCGTTTCCGAGTATCCAACCTAGGGTGGATTTCTTAGGGTGGATAAACAAACATGCGTTTCCGAGTATCCAACCTAGGGTGGATTTCTTAGGGTGGATAAACGGAATAACCCTCAATTGTGCAAAACATAAATACACGAGATTGTTAATATGTTGTTGTCTGGCCCAAAAGTATAATACTACATTAATTCAATCGATTGAATTGTAAATGGCTCTACCTGAACAATAATTCCTTTAGGAGTTCTTAAAAGAATATCCCAGACTTGTATGTAGAAATGTTTTGGCACACGACACAGGCAACCCTCCAACTGACGACGCTGCAAAGGCGTTAATCTAAAACAATAAAATATAATATTATGCACTAAAAAACTGAATTCAACTTTATCATATACCAGCGATCAGCCACGGCTTCGCACGGATGATTTCTGGATCTCGATAACAGGGTCCAAATGTGAATATAAATCATCTAGTAAAGTAAAAAGTAAAGTTACAGTCTATATACGTCCCGCTGCTGGGCACAGGCCTCCCCTCATTTCTGAGAGGGTGTTAGGGCAAGGAAGTGTCCGCCGCGCTGCCCCAATGTGTGTTGGCGAACTTCACATGTCTTCGAAATTTTCTTTTCTTATTCCTCAGACATGCAGGTTTCCCCACGATGTTTTCCTTCACCGCCGAGCACGTGGTAAATCAGCACTTAAAATTGCAATTAACAATTTCATTGGCGCCGGCGGGGATCGAACCCGGATTACTAGCGTTCTGTTATATTTACAGCGAGCGTTAACCATCTGAGCTACCACGGCTATAATCACCTAGGGCACCATTTAAAACACAAACAAAAAAATTCATCAAAATTGGTCGAGCCGTTTCTGAGTTTTAACGACACTAACAGATAGCAATTGATTTTTATATATAAAGATAAAAAGTGTGCGCAGTGTATTGTTGAACTTCAAGATTAGTATTGACCATGTAATGAGGATAGAACAATATATTATCATCCCAATGATTTTCTTTGTTGAAATTGTGTAATAAGAGAAGAGTGTGGTTTGCAAGATGATGTTGTAACCAGGATTAAGAAAGGAATGCTTCGGTGGTTTGGTCATGTGGAAAGAATGAATGAGGAAAGAGTGACAAAGAAAATTTATGTTGCAGAAGTGAATGGCAGAGTCGGAAAGGGACGTCCTAAGCGAAAATTTATCGACCAAATTGGCGATTTATTGAAAACGGGCCAAATTAGGAGTACCCTTAACCGACGAGCATGTATGCGGAGGTGTATGGATGTGAAGGAGGCGAGAGAGGTGTGTCAGGATCGTGCCAAATGGAAGTCTGTAGTCTCTGCCTACCCCTCTGGGTGACAGGCATGAGTGTTAGTATGTATGTATATATATATATATATATATATATATATATATATATATATATAAATAAGAAATATATAGGCTGTGAGCGTCGTAAGAGACTACAGACAAAACATGCCTGGAGATGGGCAGCGGCGAATGATTTTTTAACTTGGCAAGTTTTAATAGTCAAATAAATTACGTTAATAAACGTTATTCAGTTTTATACTATAGTTAACTTTTTTTTATAACATTGTGTGACAAATAAGCACACAGTCCACCTTATGGTAAGTGAATGCTGTGGCCCATAGACATCCACATTTATTTTCAACTAAGGATCAAAATGCAAATGCGTTGTCATCTTTGAGTACTAATTTGGAATGCCTCGATTCCAGTAAAAAGGCTCACCGGTTCTCTACACTCACTATACGAAACACAGCAGCACTACGCTGCTATTTTACGCTGGTATTCTGTGAGAGTGTGTTCCTGCCCCGGTCGAGCCGACCCATTCGTGCTAAAACTATAATATAGCTGTAGCATGTCTACCACGTAAAAAAAGTTAAATATAAAACCGGCACCAGATAAAAAATTCATTATTTAAAAAACGTGGCAAATTTTATTGAAAATCAATTGAAGAACAATGTACATTCCTATAGTTATGATTTTAAGCACTGTTATGAAATTTTCGAAAAAGTTCGAAATGGTTTTTCTCATCCTAACTTGGCTAATTCTGGTCCGGATACACGAGTGGGCGATACGCCAAGTACGGTGACCAACTCTAGATATAATTACTCGCTGGCAGATCCGCGCTAGTTGGTCCAGCCAGACACCATGAACACTCGATACAGTAGTGCTAGCTCGCTATAAATAATTACTCGCTGACACTAACCCACGCTCGTCGGCCCAGTCGGACACGGTGAGCACTTGCTGCAGCAGGATGCGCAGCCTGTACGGCGAGAGGCTCTCCAACGTAGCGTCGGCGCGCTTCTCGTTCGGGAATAATTCCAAGTACGTGCGGATGGCCTCCAGTACCCAGCCCACACGTATCTTCAATATACCACGAAACATATCCGGATTTGTGCCGATTAGCCTACCGCAGTAAAGAACTATCTCCTGTAAAAAATAATAATTATGAAAGTAACAAATATCTGTATACTAATTTGATTTGGTAAGATTCCTGTTAATGATAAAAATAACCAATCGAATCGGTGATGACTAAGTGCGTGTTGGGAATCTGGTACGAAATGTCGGATTCCGCTGTGCGGATTGTCTCTCATATTTTGTTAGGATTCTCATATCAAAAAAATACACCCAGTATCTATATATATCACTATAGGACTATTTACACTATAGGACTACTTTAGATAATGTTGCGAAAATAATAGAATGAAATTATATTACCTGTTGCAACACAGCTCCAATGACATCATAGGGTTGAATAGTGGAATACATCACAGACTGGATTTCACCAGGTGTCATGGGCTTGTCGAATACGGTCTCTTTTCGACCGATCACACCAACTGTTAGCTGAAACATTCACTTATATTATAAAGGGGAATGCCCACTGTTCATAGACACTTCGGCCATGGGTGCCCACATATAAAAGCATATGGAAATGATAATGTGCAATTAAAATAATGAAATGGTTAAGGAATTGGTTTAAAAAAAGATTGGATTTTTATGATATAAAAGTTTTTATTTTTAGAAATACAGTTTTAACGACTACTTTTACCAATTTTATTGCATTTAATTTCTTTAACCTTTAATTCCTGACGTTTCAGGTGCTTTATAGCACCCATGGTTACGGGGGACTGAGGTTACTGCCATCCCAATGTCAGTATTGGGACATGGAGTACCTTCAGCTTTTTATTATTATTTTTATAGTCCAATCTACGCAAATTGAACTTACTCTATCTTTAAGTCTTGCAGTGGTATGCTTGGGTTTAGTTTTAATTTTATTAATTATAGTGTCCCAAGCAGGTGGTAGTACCCAACCGCCTTCTCTATTGAAATTAGGATGTTTTTTAATTTCAATAGCCTCACATATCATCCTTGGTAGGAATTAAGGTTCTTTCGCGAGGATTTGTGGTCTATCAAATCTGATGTATGTCTATCTGGTTGGGGTGACACCCTTGACATACGGTAGTACAGCAGGCACACGCGCAACTGCGGTCGCCTTCACTCGGTCACTGTGACGTAGTCGTGGGACCCGAAGCTTGATTTTGTGCAGCACCTGTTTGACGTGCTGAAGCTCCGCGGCCAGGTGCTTGCTCTCACAGATCCCATATGCTCTCTGTAACAAAGATTTGCTCACGGCAACTAACTGTGAAGGATGATGGTGAGATTCACCGCTTAAATATCAGTTTTTATGGATCCCTTTTTCTATACACAGTGTGACCTATGATGTTGTTAGGATTTTGGATAACAAAAACATCTAGGAAAGCTAAGAAATTATTTGCCTCTAATATAATATCGTAATTACTGAATGGAATTTGGCACAGACAGTGGTAACGAAGGATAAAATTCATAGGAACAACATCCTGATTTAATATTTCACGGGCCATATTCATGAGCCGCTCTAATTTGTTTCTTGGCAGTTGCAATAATGCCTATATGCGTTCATCACTATCTCCTGTTCTCAATTTCATCAAATATACAGCAAGTGCGAAACATCCACTATGTTTACTTGACATTTTGGGAACTTTAGACAGAATTTATTGGTATGGTGCCTTTGATAAGCCTAGATAATAATGTACAGTATATTCAGACATACTGTGAATATTTTCAAAGTCTATATGATGGTAAATATTATCTTACAATAATGTAGAAAAATCTATAATTTGTGCTACACTAAATGTTTTAATATGATTATACATTGATTCTAAAAGTAAATACCAAGAGTCAATATTTAAATGGTAGTTACCGATTCTACATTCTGGAGGTGCATAGTAATTGTATTCACAAAAAGACATACCCGCAATGCTGATGGAACAGTGAGTTGATTGGAATTGTTACAACCAGGAAAAAACATTGATTTTGTGTGAGTAGTGCTCTTACAAAATTAGGCAGCAGTATATTGTACGATGTATGATCTAAGCTTTGTTGTTCTAGGTTCAATACATTACTCACTTTAGATTGCAACGAGGACGGACTAGATGATTCAGATGGTTCCCGTTCTAAAGTTTAGCGTGATGCTGCTTTGTCAGTCCTTCGCCAGCAATCATGACACTCACGCGATGATCTTGGCAACTGAAATAATATTAAATAAAAAAATAAGACAAAGTGAACAAAATAAAATAGATTTGTATACTTTAAACTCAAATATAGGTAAATGTTACTTAAAACTTAATGCCCTATATTATTTAATAATTAAGGACTGACTGCCTACCAGTAGTCCAAAAACAATTAAAAATCCACTGTCTCATTTCTTGGTATTTGATAAAAATTGTCAATTTCGTAACTATCTGGTGTTAGCTAGCTAATCTTATCGCCATGTTATAAATAAGCTATTATGTTTGTCAGATATAGCTTGTGCATATGTTAAAAAATAAAACAACTTCATCATTTGTTTTATTTTTTAACATATGCACAAGCTATATCTGACATTCATTCATTCATTCATCACTATCAAATATCAGCACTAGAATTAATAAATTAAAAACTGTTGAACACTTACTTTTAACTGTTGTCACAATATAATGTGATCGACAATCTCACTCCATATGAGTTCTTGAGAATTTATTTGAAAAATAACAAACAAAATAACACAATTGCGACTATTTAGTAGTTAATTCTCTAGTACCTTTTTACTTGTTGAATTGTGATTTCATTTTCATTTGCAATTCGCATGACATATTTCCTAGCTGTCAGATTTGATGTTGCCACATAACTAACATAAATACAATGAAACAATATCGATTTTTATTCGATTTGTAATTTAATTTAAAAAAAAATTTGAGGCGCTTTAAGTTCTACACGCTTTTTAAAATATATTTTCTTTTATTTATTTAACCACTCGTGATCCGTCAGTCTATGGACCTATTAGTCAGACCTATGGTCAAGCCAAAGAGTAGGTTTGGCCAAAGACAATTTTTTTAAATGAAGGTAAATATAACTTAGAGGCTATCCAAAAATAAAAATTAATAACAATTAAAATATCGAATTATTTGTATGAAGGTCAAGTGAGCGCTAGAGAAACGACGATTGTAAGACGTTGTTGACAAATAAAATGTTTAATGAAATAGTACAGTAAAAATAAAATTTAATATTGCACGAAATTTCCGATTCAAATTTATTTTTATGAGGTTTAGGATCACATATTCAGAATAAAATCACAAGATGCCGACAGATCCAGGTGGCAGAAAGGAGGGCGCAGTTAGGAGTTTCTGGGACCCTTAATTGAAATATTTATTTTATTTTCTAAGCGTACATATAATTGTTGTTATTGTAATTATTTTCTATGAAGGAATAAAGAGGCTTTATTATTATTATATTATTATCACTCGCGCGCTCCAGCTGACGCGCGCCCTACGTTAACAAAAAGTAGTTTTATAAGTATTTAGGCACTTTTGATATTTATTTTTGAGTTTTTATTCAAGTATGACCATTAAAAAAGCCAAAAGATACTGTATAGCATACAGGTTCTTAAATAACAATAGGTATGTCGACTTTTCATTCATTACTGTTCTTAAGTATACCGAAAGGTAAGATAATATAATTTATAGGTATATCTTGATAATAAGGTACCTAGTTACTGTCTTCATAGTTACAGATTTATTATTTGACTAGCGACCCGACCACAATTTCGCAGTTTTCGATTTTTTCGCGTATAGTGTCGATGACTTTAAATAAAAGTTCAGTGTAAGTAGACCTCCCGGTACTAGATACTGTCTGCTAATGCAAGAGAAGTATATACTGGTTATTAGTTAAAAACTTGGTTGGTAAAAGAAAGACACTGAAAATAGCAGCACTTCCCATTGCCACTCTTTCATTAATAATGCCGTCGCGTGTCGTCGTGTTCCCGTGTGAAATATTAGTATACTCTTTGGCGCGGTCTACAAGGAGACATTTAAGGATCCAAATGGAGACCTCGGACTTTTAAGAGTTAAATTCTTTTTTAAGTGTATTTTTAAGAACAGTTAAAATATGGAGTAGGGTATTGTTATGCTCTAAACAGTTCATGGTAAATCAGCTAAAAATTCACTAATTTAATTATCATAACATGATTCCATTTTAAATGTATTGTTAAAACAGATAACAATAACAGTTAAATTGTGCAGTAGCATTTTGTTATACTCTAAAGAATTCATAGTAAATCAGCTAGTAATTCGCTTGTTTAATTATCATAATATCGATAGCGATTCAATTATTATTCGATTAATAATATCATAAAAAGAGAATAATCTTGGAGGTGTTTTAACTTCTGCTCGTTTTTTAAAATGTATTTTCCTTTATTTATTTAAATTCTATTTTAAGTGTATTTTTAAGAACAGTTAATTGTGCAGTAGCGTTTTGTTATGCTCTAAAAAATTCATGGTAAATCAGCTAGAAATTCACTTGTTTAATTAGTGTAGTAATTTCATTTTAAATGTATTGTTAAGAACAGATAAGAATAACAGTTATATTGTGCAGTAGCGTTGTGTTATACTGCATAGAATTCATTGTAAATCAGCTAGTAAATCGCTTATTTAATTATCATAACTACAGATGTGAAGGCGGTTGTTAACATTTTCAACCAAGCCGATAACAACGGTTGTTTTTGGCTTGAAATTGATAAAAATATTTTTTTGTGCAATAAGTTTTTCTCTTTCGTAATGAATAAACCACAGAAAGCTCTATAATGTAGATTAGTCCTTTTTTTGAGCTACAAGTAGCTTATTTTTAAGAACCGCAATTACAATTTTGTCCTTTATACAAACACTAGGAAAAACAAAGTAACTTTTTGTTGGCGATAATGATAGTATATTAGTAGTTGAGTATATTAACTCGATGTAAAATACATGCTTGTTACTACGGAACTCTTCATTGGCTTGCGAGGCCGATTCACATTGTGCCACTTTTTCCAACTTTTAGTTATATTTTATTAATTATTTTTTCGTTTAAGTGGAGCTCTCTTATTTTAGATTTATTACTTATATCAAAAACAATCAACCTAAGTAGGTAAAGTGTGTAAATACGATTGTTAAATTGTAAAAATAATAATAGGATTTGATAATCTTAGGTAGGTATTTACTTTTATTTATTTAGAAAGTATTAATATCACAAATAATTATTTTAATAACATAATTTTATCACACAACTAACGCCCTCATTAGCAATGTAATGGTAAAAGAATTTTCAAAATCGGTCAAGTATTTTTCGAGATTAGCTAATAATAACATATTCACAGAAAGTAGCGCCCTCTATGATAAAATGCATCCTACATTAGATATCTATAATTTTACATAACATTATAGCGGTGAAAGTATTTTACGAGTTTAGCTAAATAAATATATGCGTTAAAAGTAGCATCCTCTATCATAAAATGCATCGTACGTTTCACAGTCATAATAGAATTGTAATGATGAAAGAATTTTTAAATCGGTCAAGTAGTTTTAAAGCACCATTGCAAAAAGCGATTCAGCTTAGCCACCCGCACACACAGTAAAAACATAACCATCCTTTTTCGTCTGTAGTCGGATAAACAACTGGTTGACTACGGTTGCGTATCGGCTGCTATGGATAAATATCCGTTGTCAACGGTTGCTTTACACCTATATCATAACATCATAATAATTATCGAAGTTATATTATCATTATAATAATGACACCATAAATAATCGATTAAAGAAAGGGAATCGATTTTAATGAGATTTGTGACTGGCAACATTTTTTATTTCATCCACAAACTAATGAATTACGCATTTACATAATTTTATTTTTATCATTTCAGTACCATTTTTTGTGCAAAAATATTCCCATCTTTTTAGGATAAATGAATACCGCGATTAATAACCATAAATAAAGATATATTTTTTTAACAAATGCATATTGTTGGGCGTTCCATGGCCGAAAATGGGCATCCCCTTTATAGCTTATTTATTGCTAACACTAAGTCGGTCTATATATACGTCTATATGCATCAACAGATTTAATTTTTCCAAATATTTCCGAGAACTAGTAAAATAGATACGCAAAAGAAGAATCAAATAATCATAAAAATTTACAAGTCAAATTTGTATAGTTCAGTTATTGGGTACTTTATCGTGACACTACAATACATGAACTTTTCTATAAATAAGGCTTATTCTATATAAATTAAAAAACGAAAGTATAATAGTTTAGAGGTTACCTGTTTTCCATTCACGAGTACAGTTGTGATGAAGGGACTGATCGAATCAACTGTATGGTTCAGTAGTGAGGAGCAGTACCGCACTGCGCGCCAATGACGGAGCACTCCAGCACTGTGGTACAGGCTCTTTAGGGACTCTAGAGCCGTTTTACCATTCACCTGTAATGTTTTTTTGTAATATTAAAAATAGCTGTTATCGATATTATTAGGATATTGTTGCAAGCCATAATTGACGCCCCTAGCGCCATCTAGTGTCAGGGAGCAGAGCGAGAAGAGCTTTCTAGAAAATGCCATGCCTGAACTTTCTACCAACAGCGCCATCTAGTATCAAATAAAAGAATTAAGCTTTTTAGAAAAGTCCACACTCGAATCTTCTACATCTAGTAGGTCGGGACCGGTGTTTGCTGGAATATTCTAGATGTTTCGGTGGAAAAGGCCTATATAAGGCCGTTGAAGGACGCGACCTTGCCAGTATTGAATTGGCGATACAAGTGAAGCTTTGGAGCGAAATAAAGTGAACTAAAGTGCTCAGTGTGATTAATTATTAGTGTTTTTTAAGTTTTAATTGGTGTTCAATCGGCAGTTTTTATTGTCACGAACCCAAAGCCGATAACAATATTCATCACAACAAATACTTGGTGTCGTAAATGTTAACCTTATAAAAACTTCACAATCTTACTTAAACGTAGTTTTACTCTCAATCTGGTTTCGGCCATTGAGATAAGTTGGGCTAGCCAAGATGATATTCTACAATATAAAAATGAATAAAATAAAGGCATAATTCACGTGACTTAACGTTCAGATATGTCGTTGCCATTCATTTTTAGTGTTTTGAATAGCGTTAGGAATCATAGAAAGTTATCCTGGCCAACCCTATGTAACAACGTGCATCATACTTGTGATCAGGTGCTGCTTGTGGGAACTGGTCTGCTCAGATTTACAAGTTTTGTTGTGTGGTTTTATTATAGAATTGATTACTATGGATATATTCCTTTTCAGTTTTGTTTGAGAATATTATATCACTGGCTTTAAAAAAATAAGAATGTCAAATAGTAGGATACATATGTAGTCGCTCGAAAAATAACTATACACTAACTAATTAACTACCTGCGTAGGTTTCTTTCACTTTTTCCGCACCGAACAGAAGAGCCCCATTTATAACGGTAGTAGATTAAAAAACATTTTGACATTCAAGGAACGAAATTTTAATTTCTTAAGCAATAAAATAAAAAAAAATCATTTCATTTTATCGCCTTTAATCATAAGAATTCATTACTTAAGTACTTTAATAAGATCAGTTCTAAAAATAATATAAATTTTAATAGTATTTTTCTTAGAAATAACATTTAAATTAGAATGGTTGCATGAGGGCTACAAATTTTCCTACAAATCCGACTGAAACATCATAAGTACAGGGTATGACTACATCAAGTATTTCATCAAGGCCATACAGAATAGCAGGCCTTTCTAATGATCTTAAATATAATTTTATTGAGGAAATAGGGAAGAGTCATATTCGCCGAAGTATAAAAACTTAGTAAACAATTCAGTAACCGATTATGAACAATCTACAGTGGTTGTGTTTATTTTGTTACATGTTGTATAATGTTGAACTTGAGTGCCTCCTTGGTCTAGTGTCGTAAACGCGGTTGTTGATTATGAACAAGCTACAGTGGTTGTGTTTATTTTGTTACATGTTGTATAATGTTGAACTTGACTGCCTCCTTGGTCTAGTGTCGTACACGTGGTTGTTGATTATGAGGTCCCGGGTTCGAATCCTGGGTCGAGCCAAAATCAGTTATTAGGTTTTTCTGTTGAAAAATTTATTATTACGGGTATTTCACCCATGCGCCTCATAAACCACATAAAGCCGTTGGTCTGTCGTCTGATCTCTCTTCGGTCGTGTCGGATTGCCGTCCCGTCGGACTATGAGGGTGAGGGAATAGGGAGTACATTTGTGCTTGCGCAAACGAAGTTGCACTTTTTTGATGTTGACTATATGCCAGCGTTTTAATAGCCTACATAATTATCATTAATAACATAAATCACGCACGCAAGCTAAAATAAACTTTATCGCTGTGCGCAAGTGTCCTTTTGGATTTGCATATTTCCCCCTTCCTACGTCACGGACGATTTTCGGTTGTTACCTAGTTTTCAAAAACGAGAAAAAAATACAGTATGTATACTTAGTACCTTTTAATTATTTATTAAATTTACAACTGTTTTACTTTAATATAATGTCTTATATTTTAAGTCTTTAGTTATTTAATTTAAAAATGAAAAATCTCTAAATCTGACGTATAATTTAAATAACACTGGCAGGGAAAACACGGACGGATGGAAACGATGGACGGATGGAGTGATAAAATTAATATTAGTTAATAATTTCGAGAGACGATAAGGTAGGTTGTACCAGTTCTAGCAAAAATAAAAATCCATGTTACTTGGTTGTGTGTGTGAATTCATATCATAAACACTCACGCCTGTCACCCAGAGGGGTAGGCAGAGACTACAGACTTCCATTTGGCACGATCCTGGCACAACTCTCTCGCCTCCTTCACATCCATACACCTACGCATACATGCTCGTCGGTTAAGTACTCCTAATTTGGCCCGTTTTCAATAAATCGCCAATTTGGTCGATAAATTTTCGCCTAGGACGTCCCTTTCCGACTCTGCCATTCACTTCTGCAACATAAATTTTCTTTGCCACTCTTTCCTCATTCATTCTTTCCACATGAACAAACCACCGCAGCATTCCTTTCTTAATCCTGGTCACAACATCATCTTGCAAACCACACTCTTCTCTTATTACACAATTTCTCACCCTGTCGTTCAGATTCAGCCCTAACATACTCCTTAACGACCGCATTTCTACTGCGTTGATTCTACTCTCGTGCTTCTTCTGCCACACCCAACTTTCTACTTTAACATACGTTAAAGTAGGAACCAACACAGCATTGTGAATTGCCATACGTGCCTTTTTTTGACACATTTTGACTCTTCACAATAGAGTGCAGGGCTCCATTTACTCTATATCCCGCATTCACTCGTCGTTCTATATCCTTATCATATCTCCCATCCCTGCTAAATACGCAGCCCAAATATACAAACTCATCTACTTGCTCGATCAACTTCCCTTCTATTCTTATTTCACAAATCGTTTTACTTTCTTCTCTTTCAAAAACCATAACCTTCGTCTTACTTGCGTTCACTTTCATACCCCTTTCTTTTAATTATCTGTTCATTAATGTAACCATCATTTGCAACTCGGCCGCCGATGACGCAAGGATAACTTGATCATCGGCGTACAAAAGGCATTTGACGGTTAACTCACCCATTCTTAAACCGCATTCTTCAACTTTCAAATTTTGCAAACAACTGTCCATAAATAGGTTGAACAGCCACGGGGAAGCCACACAGCCTTGTCTGACACCTTTATGGATGTCAAAACAGTCCGAGTAGACCCCGTTGATCCTAACACAAGCACTAGAGTCCCTATAAAGAGACTCCAATGCCTGTATCAAGCCAGCGCTCAACCCAAATGAGTTCAGTGTTTGCCATAGCACATCCTTATCCACTCTGTCATAGGCATTTTCCAAGTCCATGAACGCACAAAAAACCTTTTGGTTTTTGGCCAAAAACTTCTCCGCGATCATGCGCATGGAAAAGACTTGATCTGTACATCCCATTCCCTTTCTAAATCCCGCTTGCACATCCCAAATTTTTCCATCAGTTTCTTTCATGACCCTTTCAATCAGTACCTTAGCATACAGTTTTCCCACAATGCTAAGAAGGCTGATGCCACGGTAGTTTTTACAGTCCCGCTGCGACCCTTTTCCTTTATATACTGGGACTATCACGGCTTTGCACCAGTCTACCGGTACCCGCTTCAGTTCCCAGCATAAATTAAACAAGGTGTGCAGCAGGCCTGCCACGACTTCCTCTCCAGCCCTTAGCATTTCGAGTGAAACTCTATCATATCCGGCAGCCTTATCTGCTTTCATGCTTTTCATTGCTTTCATTATTTCATCTATACTTATCTCGCTACATCTTTCCTCTCCTTTCGGAGTTTCTACTTCACTTAGTACACACGTTGTCTCCTCACTCATAAACACGCTTTCAAAATATTCCTTCCATCTCTTTAAACTCAAAACTTCATCATTCAGAACATAGCCATTCTCGTCTCTTATAGCATTCATCATAAGGCTGTTTTGAATGTCCCCTGGCAGTTCTTACAAGTTTCCAGAACATTTTAATATTTGCCTGGAAGTTATCCGATATCATTCTTATCCGTTCTTTCTTGCTTTTTTCTTTCAACTACTTCTTTTATTCTCTTATTAAGATGTCTAAAGACTGCCATTTTTCTTTCAATATCATCATTCGTACCGCTAGAATTACCAGCTTTTGTTGCTAGTAAATCTAGCCATGCTCTCTTCTTTGCTTCAACTTCCATACGTATCTCATCATCCCACCATAACGTATTATTTTTCCTTTCATTCTTTCTCTTACTAACACCACATACTTCGGTAGCTGCATCCACTAAACCTTTCTTTACGTTTTGCCATACATTCTCCAAGTATAACTCCTTCATACATAATTCATCCAAACCACATATTTTTTTCAGTCTACATTTGAACTTGTTTTTCTCACCTTCATCTTGTAACCTTTCTGTTCTAATACGCTGTAACGCAGTGGTAGACACAGATGATCGATGGCGCCCACGCCTGAATAGACCATTAATTCGGCATAAAACCAAATAATGATCCGTTCCTACGTTAGAACCCCGGTAAACCCTTGTATCTACCACTGCGCCCCTCAATCTTTCATCCACAATTATGAAATCTATTATGCTTCTATCGTCACCTCTTTCCCAAGTATACAAGTGAATCCTCTTGTGGCGAAAGCAAGTGTTTGTCACAAAAAAGATTCTTTTCCATACATACGGTGAGGAGACTTTCACCATTCTCATTTATACTTTCATCACCAAACGTTCCCAATATCCTTTCATAACCAAGCCTCCTCACCCCAACCCTTCCATTAAAATCTCCTAGCATAATAATATTTTCATTTCCCTTACACTTCATTAACACCATCCTTACCATTTCCCAAAACTGCTCTCGGATATAAGTGGGCCTAAGCCCACTTACATTCTTTCTG